TGACGATCGTTTAAGAGGTTTAACCAAAGAGCAGATTGACAATCTTTCTACCCGGAACTATGGGGATATTCACACCGAAAATGAAATAAGTAAAACGTGTAGTGTTTGCATTAATGAATATGTAACAGGGAATAAGCTAAGGCAGTTACCTTGTATGCATGAGTTTCATATCCATTGTATTGATCGCTGGCTCTCTGAAAACTCCACTTGCCCAATTTGTCGGCAGCCTGTATTGGGGTCTAATGCCGCAGACAACGGCTAGAACTATTTATACTGCTCAGTACTCAAGGATTTCCTTCTGCTCGACTTGAGATGAGCCAGATGGAATGAATTGACTTGCATAGGGGTCCATTTGTGTGGGGAGTTTTGTTAAATTTCTTTAAAAATAACAGGAAACTTGTCTAAACCTAGCAATGTAAATACTATTTTTCTCCAAGTGCAGATCTAGGAGTACACATAGAACCAAACGATATCGGTAAAGTTTATATTTTTTTAGGTAATTTTGTTATGCTAAGCACTTTTGTAAATACAGAAATGCAATAGTTAATCAGTCCTGCTTAATGTATGTTTTTTTAACAGTGTAATGGACTCACTTTATTTAGATTACGAATTGTTTCACACAGACCCACCACTGTGTTGAAAAATTAGTGTCTAAATAGCCATTCATTAGGTTTTTGTTCTAAGAACAATTTCTTTTACAGAGAGTCTCTTGCTGGACATGTTTGCTAAAGATATTTAAGTTACTTGAAGTGCTCATTTTAATAGACAGTATATTTTTTTTAACATTGAAATATCCTTTCCAAAAACTTGCCAATTTGGTTCTATTTAAAAAATTTTATGGCAATTTTTGCATGTGGTTTTACACAATGCTTAACGCTGAGGAGTTCATATTCAAAAGTGGATGGGTTAGTGACATTATAAAATGTACATAATTAAATGCTGTCTTTGACAATCGCTGTCTTTTCAATGCAGACAGCAATCAAATCAATCATAATTCCAAGAGGGCGTGTCTTACTGAACATCGTATTTGCTCAAAGAATACATGAGCACCGAGGAAGCCTTTTTACTCCTCCAAATTACTCAATTGATATTCATGGGGTTTTAACTGCCTTAGTTTAACGAGGGAAATATTTCCTTGACCGCTACATTGTCTACAATATGCATGATTTGTGCATCCTACTCAGAAAAACAAAACAAAGGCTTGAAGTGGTTTTGTACAGAGATTTAAGGTACACGTATCATATCAGTCCTCTTAAAACATGTCTGAGGACCAAATGGCAAAAGACACTAAAAAGGACAAAATAAGCTTCCCTTAAAATCCCCAGATTACTGTATAATTAGATATTAAACTTTATACCAATAACTTATAAAGAAATAAAGTTGCAAACTAAATTGTTGAGGCTTTGTGTGAATTACTGTTGAGCCGTGTCCCGTAGATTGGTAAGAAGATTTATCATTCTTGATGTTCGGTCTCAGTTTTCACTTCGTTCTTTCCCTGGTTTTCCCCAGCTGCGTACTTGTGTTTCCACAACGTGTGTGTTAGCTGTTACGGTAGGTACAAATGCAAGGCAGAGCACGCTCGGGGCTTCTGGAAGTAAGCTGAACATTACAAAGCTCCTCTTCTGAGCGGTGTGCGTCTCAGTCCTTGGAGAAGGGCAGAACTGTGCAGTACTCCTATGTGCGTGTGTGCTGGGCGGTAGAAAGAATACTTGAAGTGAAGAAGTCCTACTGACTTTCTCTGCCTACAGGTGGCCTCGGCAAACGCACTTCTGTGCCAGGTGCTTCAGTTAAAACGTCTGCTCATGACATCCTTGAAGGGAAGCTGTGAAGTCCTGCATTAAGCTATTGAATGTCTACTTCAGTTTCGCAAGTGAAAAAACTTTTGACGCAAGTTCCACAAAAGTGTTGCTTTTTATTCCTGGAAGTAGTTCTGAGAGATTCTCTTACGAGATGTAGATGCGTTTAAGGATATGATTAAGATCTCTTCTGATGTGATTTGGACTGCAAATTATTGCAAACACTGTTGACACCTTTCTTGAGTGCCTCCTCAGCCATATTAAAAAGTGAGGAGATTTAAACACGATTATCAGAACTAGCTTATTTTTTACATTTTTTTTTCCCTGTTACTTCTGTTGGCTCCTGATGTTGTCAGTATCTAAGTACACGGGTGCCTTCTGCTACTTCCTTGTCTCCTCATGGTTTTCCTTTATATTTGAAAGCTGCCTGACTCAAGTGCCACACTTGTAGAAACCTGCCTTTGGCTCACCATTGCCCTGCTGCTCGGTTCTTTTTTTTTAAATAACTGAGGAGCCCTAATTAATCTCTTTTTACATAGAAGCTATTCTTTTGTAACTATTCTTGTTGCTCTTTTGAAATGGGAGAACTGGTGCTTATGCAGAATTCAAGATGTGGATGCACGAGGCATTGGACGGTGGTATAACCACTGCTTTGTTCCTCTCTGTGATCTTCCAAGTAATTCCTAGTATTCTGGTTTCGCTTTTGATTGCTGTTCAACACTGAGCTGGGATCTTAACAATTTTTGCAAAAAGATCTCACAATCATTTTTCTGAATGTTAATTGCTAATTTAGAACTGATTATTGCATGCTTTTTTTTGTGTGCTATTGTGTACATTTTTTTTCTCTTGGATTATTTTGTATGTTGTGCAAGTCAAATTTTCTCTGCCCTTTTATCATCCTGGGCACCCTGCCTCCTGTGATTTGTCTTTGCTTCTAATACCCCAGGAATTCTGTACCATCTGCAGATTTTATCACTTCTTGTTATATTTCTTTTTCTGATCATTTGTAAGTATGTCACATAGCACAGGTATTTCTTCTTATTCCCCGTAAATCTACGATTTTCTCTCTCTCACTAAGATGCAAACGATCCAATAACCCACTGTGTTCCTTCCTCCTCTTGAAACTTCAGCATAATCTACATTTCCTCATGGGCATTTTCATTTAATTTAGTTGACTGTCAGCTCCCGGTTAGAAGTTTTCCCCCAGTGAAATTCTCAGCTTTTTCTAACAGCTCCCATTAAGCACATCTTTCTCCCTTTTCAAAGTAACAGCTCAACTACTGTGGAACTGAATTCGTCACCCTTGCTGAGCTCGGCTGCACGAATGTATCTTATCTGCTCCTGCCTAGCTGTGGCTTGCGCTGAAGGCAGCGGGAGCTAGGTACTTCCCAGCCGGGTTTCGGCCTCACAAGGAACGCTGCTCAAGTGAGGCTGTGCAATCTTAACACCAGACTCTCTACAAGAAACCTCAAAGCTAAAATCGGGCTCTCCTGTATTTATTGTCTTGACGTGTCTAATGTGGAAGGTGTAACTTAGATGTTTTAATAGGTCCACATGCTCACTTTTCTTGCACAATTTCCAGCACCAGCTGTTACATGAGATTCACCTGCCAGACTGATTCTGCACTTCTCAGGCTTCTGGTTTAAAGCGTGTGTGATGATTTGGTCATCTGTGCAATTCCTGCCCGTCAATTAATGTGAAGTTAGCTCTTATTGCTATAAAAATGTATACTGGAAAGTATGCATTACCATGTATTTGTTTACCGGGCCTGCAGCAGAAAGCTGCCTGCCTAGAGAAGGTGCTTCATGGTGCTGAGTTCTGGCTGTTCCCAGGTGTGCTGAGAACAAACCCTCCACCCCATTCACATGATAGGGAGACAAGAAGATTGTGAGAAACTGGGGGTAATGAAAAATGGGTGACACAGTGGAGCTTAAAAGGCCTTCCTAAGGCAGCTGGGAGCAACTCGGAGGAAGTATTGGGCAGGAGAGTGAAGGAGAGGGATTATCTTCAGCAGCTTTGGGGCCCGAGTTTAGGTGCAGAACCAGTGGGAGTGTGAGATGCAGGGCAGGCTGACGCCTGCAGGAGTGCGTTGGGATGCTCTCGGGAGAGTCCTGGAGGCTTCCGTTCTGCTGAAGTAAATAGCAACAGGATGCGCGTGTCCCCCCATGTATTACATGGGTCCTAGGAGTGAAGGCAGAGACTTGTTTAATCTGTGAGGTTGATGGAGGGGTTAGAGAAGCTAGCACCAGGTACTGGGCCCAGTTGGCCGGCCAGTTGGTCCAGCGCTCAGGCTCTATTTCCTCATCGCGTGCCTAGAAACCCAGTGCAACATTAGTGCCTGGTTTCAGTTTAGACTCGGAGGTTAAACACCTGAAAATTTGGTTGTATGCTCTCCAGTTGCAGCTGAGTAAATGGCCAGATGGGGCAATCGGAGTTTTATTTTTCACAGTCCCCTTTGATCTGGAAGAGCCAGAACCTGCCTTGGCCCCAAGAAGCTTTTGGAATTCGTAGTCTGTTCAGCTCAAGCCTCTACTGCCCAGAGTTTGCACAACAGAAGGCATAAACATAATATAGACGGATATTTTTATGGTGCCTTTCCTCCAGCAAGTGCAGGTTACAGCAGCAGCAAGGTCACGGCAGCAGCGTGGGGATGTAGCCGGGCCCCGGCAGGTCCTTAGAGTTCCCACTGGTGAATAGGTGATGTCTGTGCCACTCGCCCATGGTGCCGTGTCTTCGCTGTACCCGGTGTCAGCGTGATTAGAGCAGGGGAAGGGAGGTACATCTCTGCACGTGACAGTAGCTGTTTATTTCGCTGAGCAGACAGTTTGAGTGCTACCAGTTCAAAATGAAGCAGCGCTCGTCGGCAGGAGCAGTAGGAGCTGTGGCAGCGTGGGGGTGCCCGCTCCCAGCAGTGCAGAAGGTGGAAGAAGATTTCCGTCGGCAGCACAGCCAGGTGCCTATCTAGCCAAAGTGACAATGATCCCCTTCCGGCGTGGAGTGAGAATGCTTATTCATCGGGTTGCAGGCTTACGCGGGGCAAGCCTGGAGCTTTTGTGTTTGTTGTAGCAGTCAAAGGGAGGTTGCATCCAGTTCTATGAAACTCTGGGTGGCCGGAGTTTTTTGCAGCCTGTTGATTCATCTTATTGTGGAGGTTAACGCACACGGAAGATCTTAAAAAAGACTACGTAAAATAAGTAATGACTTGACATTTACTGGCTATAAAAGCCTTATGGTTAACTACAGTCAAGGGAATAGGGTGCTCTTAGGTTGGGGTAATGAACCTCTTCAAACAGAGCCAGACCACCGCTGGTGACACTGGTGCATAGCGCAAGGGAGAAGACAGCCGAGCGCTCGCACATCTCTGCGGAAACAAAATGTTGCTGCAGTTGTGAAGTTGAGTGCGACGAAGCTGGGAAATGTGGGAATGGAGGTTGCCGGTGGCACCTGAGGTCGGCTTTCTAGTGCCTCTCCGTGCTGCTACAGCCTCTCCCTGCAAATGTGGCCTCTCTCAGAGCACCGAGCGGGTCGCATTCACTTACTGAGCTGCCAGCAAATCTGCCCTTGTCTTTCGTTCTATGCCTTGGAGTCTTTTTTGCTGCATGCTTTTACGTTCCTGTCTTTAAAGGAAGTATCTACTTCTTCATGAGTTATTTAGTGATGCTTACTGTTCGTGGTAATTTTCTCAATACTTCTGTGAGAGAAAGATCTGATTTGTGTTTAGAAATTTTACTTCTCATCTATCTTTTCTTTTTTTTAAATGAGCATCTATTTCTCCATCTGACTGTCTTCTATTCAGGTATTTATTTAATAGGATGTAGCTTACATAAACGTAATTGTATGGCACGAAAGCAAGCTGAAAATAAATGTTAAAGATGAACATTATATCCTCAAACTAGAGGAAATGTCCTCTAAGCCATCTTCCGTTGATCTCCGATAGACGCGTTCTGTTGGTCATCTCCTGCTCCGGGGTACACAGCTATTGGTACTGGCATCAGGCTAGCTTTACCTCTGGAAGGAGCAAGTGACATGTTAAATGACTTTTATTTGTGACATTAAGAAAAGTTATTTATTTCTATGGTAATAGAACTTCTACCCACATTTTTCTGTTTAAAAATAACAGCTTATTTCAACTGAAATATTAAACTCGGGTCAACCGGCAGCACTAACCCAGAACCTCTCTAGAAAGCCTTAATGCGGAAAATGACCCAGAGAGCTGGATTGGAGAGGGCCCTTGGAAAGATACAGAGAACGCTCAGGCTGAGTTAACAGGTTTTTCCATTTCTTGCATGCGTGATGCTATCAGTGACTTTCTAGCTGATATTATGGCCCCGTAAGCCTCTCTAATAGTCTCTTCTGTAATAATACATGAGGTGGAAATGGATTCCTGTGTTACCAAGGAACTGCGAACTGGGCAGAAGTGCTTTAATTTCATCCCCTTCCTCAGACTCTTTCCAACTTCCTTTCCCTTCCCTTCCGTATTCAGTAACCTTCACCTGTAACCATTGCCAAGCTTTTTTTTCACTCTTTCATCTTAGGAACAGACTATTTCCGCAAAGTACTTCCTGCTGGCACTACGGGAAATTTCG